TCCCTTTGGAAGCATCTTTGCTCTAAAAGTGTTGTGGTTATATACATTCTGAGGCCTGTATATCAGGTCATAGGGTCATGAAATCTAATTTTAGCTGATGACTGGTTCAACTCTTTATATCTTTCGTCTCTTAAGAAGGCAAGGGTTCAGACGAGGTATGTGACCCTGTTAAATAAATGTGCATCTGCAGCAGGGTACTTTGGTAATCACAGTTCTTAAAATATTGTCCAAAAATATCTTGCAGTCTAAAATGTATTTTGCTTTTAATTTGTATTTAACAAAACGTATTTAACCTTGTTTAATAAATTTAAACTTAACTACTGTGGTTAATAAAAATTTTAATTTACCATATGCTCAAAGATGGACAAAAATTTTAGTGGCTTTATAATTCAAATACTCTAGACCTTTTAAAATCTCATTTCACAAATTAATTTACTAAATATTTAGTATGCTATACTTTGTCTTCAATATCCAGTGCTGTTACTTTTTCCTGTATTTCTACATTAACGTTCTGTCAGTAAATTAAATTGATACACAAAGTATAGGTTGGTACAGAATTGTAATTCTCCAATTAAAAAAAGGCATACTTAAGTGTTTCTAGATCCTGACCTTTTTCTATGTCAGTGATAGCTGGGCAGTACCTCTCTTCAAACAAATGCAGAAACAGCTTGGACTTGTTCATGAGGCTCTTGGGTTTTCTGCCTTAATGCTGTGCTCTGTTCTTTCTGTGGTACAAACTGAGACATGGCAGTGTGTATTGAAATCCTAGTTCTTGTATTGGTTTTGAAAAGGGCGAGTGCAGGTTTTCCTTTCCACACTTTTCATGGTGTTGAAATTTTCTAGTGCTTTTGTTACCTTGATCCTGCCAGATGTCCAGGGCACGGGCGGGCACGGGCAGCAGCAGTACCTGCTTGCCATCATGATTGTAATACATAGCAGGATTCCAGGAAGAGTACTGAAAAACTTAAGGTCTGTAGCTGTTTAAGGTTAAGCTATAACTGTATATCCTTCTTTATGCTTCTGAAGGGATGAGGCCAGCATTGAGAGGGTCCAGAGGAGGACCTCTCGCATGATTGGGGGCAGCAAGGCAGGCCCTACGAGGAGAGACTAAGGGACCTGAACCTGTTCAGCCTTCACAAGAGAAGGCTGAGAGGGGATCTGGTGGTTGTATATAAACTTACCAAGGGGGGGAACGGAGGGGATTGGGTGAGACCCTGTTCTCCCGAGCACCTCCCGGAGTAACAAGGAACAACAGCCACGAGTTGTTTGAGAGTAGGTTCAGGCTAGATGTCAGGAGGCACTGCTTCACAGTCAGGGTGGCCAGGGTCTGGAACCAGCTTCCAAGGGAAGTGGTGCTTGCTCCTACCTTGGGTGGTCTTTAAAAGGAGGCTTGATAACTACCTAGCTGGGGTCATTTGAGCTTAAACTTAGTAGGGATCATAAGAGCCCAGTATTCATTCCTGCCCAGGGCAGGGGGTCAGACTACATGATCTGCTCAGGTCCCCTCCGACCCTACATCTATGAAGATAGAGGTAGGTTACTTCCAACTGTATTTCTAAAACTGGGGAAGAATTGGACTACCTCAACACTTTTACCTCTTAGAATACTAGGAGGAGTGACTGTGAAATCTGAGCACCTAATACAGTCTGGCACAGGCAAGGTTTGAAAACAGCAGAAAATTAAATCATAGAACTGATCAGTTAGGAAATGACCACCTGGATACATTTTTAGCACGAATGCTTAGGTCCTCAAGTCATTACATAATCCATCTACCTATGGCGAATGACTGTCGCTGAAGCGTGTTCAGTCGCAGAGGGGCACTTCCAGAAGACTTTGAAGACAGTTCTGCATGTTCAGCAGTGGGTCTTTTGGAACGAAAATACTGGCTAGCATAGTCAGGTAAGGTTCTTTGAGTAGATGTGATATGTTTTATTAGACCAACTGAGTAGCTGGGGAAAAGTGCTTAGCAAGCTTTGGGATGCAATCACCCTTCTTCAGGCATGGGGAGTCTCTGCTGTTCTGAGACTCCAAGGAATGAGAGAAGCTACAAGTGTGACAGGATGTCAGTGATAGTGTAAATGGGTAGAAGTTAGGAAAACAAAAGGTAAAGCAGGGAAGGGAGGAGGGGAAAAAAACGCAAAGGTGAGTAAGGGAGATTCTGCAGTAGTAGTAATCAACTACTTGCTAGTAGTGGCTAGCATAGTGGAATATGGGCAGTGGTAGGAGGAATGGTATACATGTGGGAACCCAGAGTCTGCAAATTAACCTCTCATGGGCAGCATGTGGGCCATGAATTGGACAGCTCTGCTTTTGTGTACTTTCCTTTGGAAACATTTGGCAGAGAAGTGCTGTATGTGATTGTGCCAAAAATAAATTAATATTACTAGCTTTAAGCACGGAGGGGGGTTTTATCTTTGTTTGACTCTTGCTAACTTTTCCTTTCTTGATAAAGCTCCATTTGTATTATGCCTAGGAAAGGCCTTTGTCATCTGAGAATTTTTTTGAGGCCCTAATAAATTTAGGTCTGTGTAAGGACTTAGTCTTTTCCACAGATTTAACAATAGGCATCTGAAAGGAACATGGAAGAAGAAAAGTGCAGTGTAGTTGCATTGAACTGGACTAGAAACTTGTTTTAGAAGGAGAATCATGATATAACACTTGTTTTTTCCAGGTTATGTAAGATACAGGTGTGTTTTATTGAAGGAAAATTGAAACATCTGTTCAGTCAAACTAAGCAATTTAACCTGAATTCTACTGGCATCTAACGTCACATGCAGAACTTATGTTTTTAAATGGTTGTGTTAGTTGATGCCTTTTAGAAGGAGAGTTGCTGTGAGCATCACTAGCTGCTGTTTTCATGTAAAATGTTGGGTTGGCTCTGAGCAAGGTAATTTTGTACCTAGGAATTCCCTAGACAGAGGGGAGTCTCTTTCTTACTTCCTTAAGTTTGTAGATCAAGTGGAAAACTGTTGAGAGTCTGTGGTGCAAGGAAATTTCAGAGTAGCAAGGGTTGGTGCAGAGAGCTCTTTGGTACTTTTCAGCTTGGGGTTTGACCAACTGCCTTGTATGGTGCGCTGTTTAAAGGTAGACTACAAAAGCATAGATTTGTTATGCTTTTAATGCTAGTTTCACAACACCCAGGGAAGGGAGAGTGGGTGGTGTGCTCTGGGTTCTGATGAAGAGAATAATTATTTTCTCTTGTGAATGTCACATCTCTTAGGTTTTTTTTGGCTTGTGGTTTTTTGTTTTTGTAGTAGGACCTTGTACTTGTAAAATCTGCAAAAGGAACTGACTTTGCATGTTTCTAGTGTCTTTATCTGGAAACCAGTACCATGTATTAAATGATTTTACAGCTGGGTGATTTTTTTACTTTGCCTAGTCTCCAACTTACATACATGAAAATCTTTTTAGATGGGTTGAACTCTGACCTCACAAACAAACCGGGCTATAAACCATTGCTGAGTATTATGCCTCTGGTGAATAGCTGTTTTCCAGAAACTTTTCCAAGATTTGACTACTTAAGTGGTTATTCATATTAGTATAATATTAGTATAATAATAACTATTAGTATAATATTAGTATAATATTATACTATTAGTATAATAATCTTTATACTAGTGGCCTAAGAGGACTTACTCGCTCTCTCATTTTGTTTTTGTTTTTTTTCAAAAAAGATGAGTCCTTCATTGAAGACTTGGGTTTATTGTTACCTGAAAGGTAGATACAGGTTTTGGTAAAATTCTTTGCATAATTTTTGAGCTTGAAAGTAAAATCTTTCACATCACTCAAGCCTTTTTTCCTAAAATGCCAGCTTACCATAAAATTGCTTCTTTCTGAGGATAAATGCCTTTGATGTGATAGAAATTTGTTTTGTAAATTGCCAAGTGATAAGTGTTTCAATTGAGTTACACAAAAGTATCATGAAACACATTCTCAATTCATGGCACTTATTTAGAGCATGTAATAATAAAATGATTTGTGCTTATACTATTTCCCTGACTATACATTTAGGCAAATACCTGATCTATTTTATTTTGCTCCATGAATACACAAACCACATTAATGTGAGCTAAAGTTTGGCTATGATGCTGGGTGTTGAACAGGATTCTGGTGTTGGAGGCTCTGACTTTTGAGATGTTTCATTCCTGAAAAAGCATTCTGAGAGAGAGGTTTGTTTTGTCCTTAGGACAGATTGTTTAAGTCTTTGATATGAGTAGGGATCCAGTGAATGTGGAGAATCGGTGATGAGTGACTGGATGGCAGGTGTGCAAGTTTCTCAATTTACATCACTTTTACAGTTAGGCTAAAGACTACTTAAGCTGTAGATTGAGGCAGAGTTGTGCAAGCCTGGAAAATGAGAACATGAAATTGAAACTTCATATGAATGACAAAGGAAGTTTAATGAAGTAATTAAAAAAGATGTGATAAAAGTTCTCATATGATTGAAAGAGCAGAGTTTCTTCGCTTGCCCATTGCCTTCCTTTATCTAAAATAAAATATTGCAGAGCAGGGTTAGGCAGCCTGTGGCTTCCAGGCCAGGTCTCATCTGGCCTTTGGTAGCATGGGATTGGTGGCATAGAGCTGCTTGTCCCAATCTTAAGCATAAAACAGCAATACAAAATTTTATATTGGTGCTATAACTTTGACTCCTTTCAAATGCTGGATTTAAATTTTGTTAATATAGTTAATATATTGAGTGACAAGTCAGTGTCCCTTTGGATATAGGCATAGTCATTGTTGGTGGTATTTGTAAGTGGTGTGTTTTACCTGTTGTATTGCTCAGTCTCAAGAAGTGAACTTAAAGTGCAGGCATTTTTGCTTCCCAGTTCGCAACATAATCAAAAATCCCTTTGAAACACCTTTTTCTTATGTCAAATGCAAGAAGGTAAATTATTTTAAATGTATGTATTTTTTTTGTGATAAACCTTTTTCACATGGCTTGCAATTTTTCACATCAGATTTGAAATAACAGCTTTCTTTTTCTTTCTTTCTTTGTGCAGTGGATAGGCCAAAATCCCAGCAAGTTCGAACCTCTGGTACCATAAGGCGAACCTCTTCTCTGGACACAATAACAGGACCTTACCTCACAGGACAATGGCCACGTGATCCCCATGTACACTATCCTTCATGTATGAAAGATAAAGCTACTCAGGTAAAACTGCTGAAGCTGCATGTTGTTGTTGTTGTTTGCATTTTGCTTCCTTATCCAAAATAGCCACTATACTTTTCACTGTTCTCCAAAGTGCAATTACTGTTCTTATTCATAGCATTACTATACCTTAATTTTTCACATGTACATTGGTTTTCTTAATTTGGTAGCCTGAACTTGGTAATGAACTTGTGTAATTCAGAATTAATGTTCCCATGTTTTTAAGAAGCAGTTCTTGGAAAAGATCCTTGGTCTGTTTGGGAAGAATATCTGCTAATATCATTGAGCGCAGGCAGTTTAAAACATCCTGAAGTTTGGTTTGAATTCAGCATTGCCAAAAAATATTAGGCCAATGTAATATCCAGCTAACAATAGTGAATCATAATTAAGTTGAAATAAAGGCAAGAGTTAAAGTAGCTTTACAAACCTGTTAATTTACTAGAGCGTGAAAAATTCTGCTCACCGTTAATGTTGAGTTTGTTCCGGAGGCTTCTTGCTTTGAATGGCTGCTGATTAATTGTTAATTGCCGGGCCTAAACAAGAGCTCCAGGAATTCCTGAATTAGAAAGAAACCTTAAAATCCAAGCAACCAGTGACTTGAAATATTTGTAGGAAGGAGTATTTGGGGAGGTTACCCCCCCCCCCCCCCCCCCCGGGGGGGGGGGGC